GTAAAGTTTTTCACTCAACCTCTACTGTCTTTAAAAGCCATTATATTTGCACGATAAACTAGTGTGTCTACTGTGCTTCAGTTTAACTTGCCATAGGAAGCCTCTTCTTTTTTTGGTTACTGAATTACATTTTCCACTGAATAATGAAATCCATTTCAAAATAGAAAAGGTGAAGTGCTGCTAGTGAAGTCACTCTAGCATTGTCAGAAACATTAGTATACTTTTATTAGTAGCACCAAAATACCATGGAGGTTATTATTTCCTTATAGTACAGACTGTATTGCATTAAATTTTTCAATGTTCATTACACAGGATTACAATATATTTCCTCCTTATCAAATGGCAATGTTGTTTACAAACAGAGCAGCCTGTAAGATGCAGTAGTTTCATTCAACTGTAGATGTTTTCTGTATCTGATGTCTTCTTATAATTAAGTTGTCATAGCAATGCATTTTTAATAGTACTGATTCATATGCCAATAATGTGCTGGAGACAGAGCTCTTGATAGTTTTTTAGTATTCAGTTATGCTATATTATAAGTTTAGCAAATACATGAGGATTGGTCTGCTTGAACTAGCAGAAGCACACATGATCAGAGTTAAATTAAGCCAAAGCATAATCTGACATACACAAGTAACAGAAAGGAACATAAAACTTTGGCTGGCTCAGCTCAAGAAAGTACAGGCAAATCCTACACCTGTTTTGTTTTAAATGTAAATATTTAATGATTAATAAAACCTAAATGATTGCATCTTACTAGGCAGAAAGAAAAGTTTTGGGTTGGTTTTTTTTTTTGGTGGTGGTGGTGGTTTTGGTGGCATTTTTGTTTTGTTTTGGTTTGGTTTTTTGGGGTTTTTTTCGCCCCTAAAGATGTTGCTTTCATATATTGGTATTTATATGATACACGAGGCAGCTGTGGAGCATAAGCATTCAAAATGAGGAATCACAGTACTTTGCTGACTCTGTTTTAGCATGTCTTCCTCTCTGTATTTTTAACATATCAATTAAACTACACATATTTATAAGGTTTCAAAATAACAGTAAGTCATTCTCCAAGGACTGGGACGGTATGTCTTGGCTGTTTCCAAGGCACAGATAGCAAGTGTCAGCACGCATGAGTCTGTGAGAGCGAGACATGAATCATGAACAAAGAAAATTGCCTGATATTCCATTCCTTTTTTAATTCAGAATGTGAAGAATAATGTGCATTATTTTCTAGTATCAGCAAAATGTAAGTGAATCAAAGAGAGATGAAGAAGAAAATTATGCTCGCTTGTTTTCTGTGTCTGTTAAAGGAAAGGAGGGTAGAGGGAAGAGAGATTCTTTTCCTCACACCTGTCTAGAAAGGATAAGGTTTAGATTTTGAAGTGTTGTCTGAGAAGTGCATTACATAGCACACATCCTCTAATTGCTCCTTCAAAGAGCTGATGAAGGGGAAAGTATATTGTGAATGCAGTAACTGACCTAACTAATATGTCTTAATGAAGATGTGTATTGATTTGGTTATGAGGAATGCTTAGCCTCTAAATATATAAACGTGAAATAGTAGTTGTTAACCCTGAAGTTTCTGACCTTAACACCTCTGTTTAATTCAGACTTCAGACTTAGTCATACTTTCCAAGCAAGGGAAAGGTGTGCCAGTACTATAAATTTCACATACACTAGATTTACCTGTTTCATATATACAGCGTAAGAGTCAAAAATTAAACCAAAAATTTTTTGGGGACTGAAGCACAGTGGAAATCTAACAAGGGCAAAGATAAAGTTACTAAGGGAACTGTAGCGTGATGGAGGCAACAAGGCAACAAATTACTAAGCAGGGTGTTTGCTTCCCTATCAGTTCCTGGTATATGCATTTTTCCTTAGGATCAAACCTAATCTTACACTTTCATTAGGTAAGAAAAAAGGTGGAATATGCAAGCTGAAACTGACATAAAAACAAAGACTTCCCAGAATATAAATACAGTAAGAAATATAAGAATATATGGGAGTTTATTTAGAATGGCTTGTACTTTAGTTAATAAATAAATGAATAAATAAATAAATATAATTTTCCTTAGCAGACGTAAGCTTTCTTTTCCATGGACTTCTGGCAATTGCTGCTTTCTTCTTCAAAAGTTACATATTCAAAGTTAATAGAAATTACACATTTAATGAGGGGATCAGCAGTCTATAATGCAGACTCGTACTAGTTAGACAATTGGGTCTTTTTCATGAGGGCAGATACCAGAGCAGTGCAGAAGATGCTGAACATAGCTGGCATTATTAATTTTGGTTTCTTCCACTAAGGCTCCAGCCTAGTGAGAGGCAGAGCTGGTCAGAATTTTGCCTGTACATACAGGCATAATCTGCAGGTAGCATGTTTTTACACAGCTCAAAATTAGATGTGGTGAATCTAGGTAACTATCTGTATCAAGCACAACACAAGTATTTTCTGATCTAAAAAGTCATTTACAGTACACAGAAAGAGGTAACTGTTCCTGATGTTGTTTTTTAGAAGAATTTCCTGATTTATCTTAGATAAGGAATATCACTTGTTCAAGGATAACCTTATGAATATTAATTAGGTATCTGATTCTGGTGGTCCTCTGTGAACTGAGTACTACTTACCCGACTAGTCATTGAAGAGGTGCAACTAAAAGACGAGAGATCTTCCAGCCACTTCTGGACACTAGAAAATGTGTGTACTCATGGAGTTATATGGTACTTGTTCATAGAATCCCAGAATCATTTGAGTTGGAAGAGACCTTAAAGATCATCTAGTTTTAACCCCCCTGCCATGGACAGGGACACCAGGCCATAAGATCCATTAGACATGGAACACATAAAAAGATAGGGATAGTGATTGGTCTAAACCCAAACCCTGAAGATTTATAGTCTTGTAACTGATAATAGTAGTATGCTGAGGTTAAGTGAAAGTGCACAGATGTCCAGCTTTTTAGTCCATCTTTAACGAATGTGGCCTCTTTCACTTTCTTGGATGTATTCCTAAGTATATGGAATTAACTGTTGCTATAGGATATTCTAATCTGGTTCTTTGCTGCTAGGCAAAAGCTCTGCAACATTTTGAATGTTTGAAATAATGCTTCTCAACAAAAAAAAAAAAGGAAATACTGCATTATATTTCTGCTTTACATGTGTTCATTTTGATATACTAAAATATCTCATAATAGTAGAGGAAATAGTGACTGTGGATGGACTCTTGAGACTGGTTGTAAAGATCAAGCTTTGGTGGGAAGCTGCAAGACCACAGTACTCTAGCTAGTTTTACAATGTACTAAGCAGTTAAACAATGTTCCAACTAATTATACAATGCAACTTATCAGTTGCTTCATACAGAGTTGCTGAGATATCAGAATAAAAAACAACCATACTCATTTTTCCATGAGTACCCACAGCACTGATAGTAGTATCAGGTGTGTACAGCTGTAATGCAAGTATATTTATCTCTATACATAAATAATCTGTGGCAGAGAGACAAACGGGGGCAAACCTTTAGCTGACTGCAACAAATATCTTTACAAATCTGATTGCATAGTCTACATAGAGTGGGTATTTTTAAAGATCTGTGACTGGACAAGTAAGAAAGAAGCAGCTGTTGAGGTCTCCCAGGGGACTGGTACAAAAGGGAGTAGAGAGGAATATCTGGCTATTGCCTACTCTCACACGACAATATAAGCCAACAAGGTAGTAGTTGAAAAACACTTCCATAAGAAAATCAGCTCATTGTTAAGAAAATGTTATTACCAGGTTCTGAGTGGACTTTCTTATTGATTGCCTTGGATGAAGGATAAAGAGAGAATCACAATATACATTGTTACCCCTCAAGTAAATATAACAGACTAGCCCCCTCATCATTACTCTCCTTCATTTCCCATTAAATTCCCCTTCAGTGAATAACAAAGCTGACCCTTTCCTCAGACAAGCGATACTTCATCTTGCAAAGATATTTGTTAGAGAAAAACAGCTTCTCTGCCTGCCTGGAGCTCTGCCTACTTCTTTCCTTATCATGATGCAGAATAACTTCATCCAACCTCGGATCCAAAATGGTACTAGATAGCCACATCTTCCAAATGCTTGGTTCTTCCTTATGAATTTTTTTACCAAATGCAAGATATACAGCCAAAGTGGTAGTAAATAAATGCTATATGTAATATTTTCCGTTTTCCTCTCCTGAAGTCCAAGACAGGTAGAGTCAGACTACAGACCAAGAAGACAGAGTTTCCCAACTCATTTTAAATCTGCACATTACACAAGTCCTTTCCCAAGGTACTTAAAAAAATGCTACAACAAAGCCTGTCTTGGATCATCATTTTGAAGCTGTGACACAAGTCATCACTTTGAGTGTCAACTGAGATGAGAAAAATGTGTTTGACTTCATTTAGCTCAGAGATTTTTATAGAAAGGGAAACATGCTTTGGTTAATGTGGAAGTTGCTACCAGAAACAGGGAGCTGTTAGTTGAAATGAAGCAGATCAGTGGGAAATGCTATTTTTCTTGTCCCACAAATTGGAATTATATCATTCATAAGAAGCATGGAAAGGGGCACCTTAATACCGTATTAATTTCTTGGATAATTATGACTTTGATTCAGTGATTCTTCTATACTTTGCTAAAAAACTAAAGTCCAGGCTGACATTATAGTTGTGCTGTTAATTAGCAAGCTATCCTATTACCTGTACATTTTTAGGAAGATTTAGCAGTTAACTTTGACTACTTCATTCAGTAACAGACTATCTAGGCAAGTTTTAAAAATAAATAGTTTCAGATACCATAGATCTCAGTATTGTATTGATATGTAACATTAATTCATAGCAACAAACTTATGCCAAACACTGAAATGGCGAATAGGTGTGTTCCAGCAAATAGAAAGTGAAAAAGAAGGAAAAAGGCTAGATATTTTAAACAATTTATTTGTTTAAAGGCTTTTTCCTGATTCTTTTCAAGCTGCAATAAAAGTTATATGAGATACTAAAATGTGAACAGGCAAGTTTACTTACTGTTTCCTGGATGCCAGCGCACGGCATTTAAATATGCATTACAGTAATGGAAGAGAAATTCATGCTTGGATCGGGTAACTTTTCCTTGAAGTAAGGGCATCAGATCATGTCCATCAATAATTCTGAGTAAGAAAGCATTTCAAAATCAGAATAACCCAAACCTCACTATACTGAGAATATATTATAACTTTGTATTTCCCCTCCTTAAAAAAATAAATCTTATCTGAATCCCAAATCTGTTGGTTTGTTGTTTCAGAAGTGGGATATACGAGTGTTTTCTATCTGATTATTTATTTTTCTTCCTGAACTAGGAGCATCTCCTCCTTCCCCTTTTAACCTATTCCCTTCTAGTGACTGAATCCTAATCGTAGTAATTTCTCTTATTTCTCGGGAAGAACTGAGTGGAGTGATAAGCATTCAGCTGCTATATTAAAGATGCTTCAAGCTAGTCACTGAGATCCCACTCTGACCTATCACAAACCAGTAATTATGGCAACTACTATACAGAGAAGAATCACAGTGGAGAAACTTGCAAGTGGAAGTTACATGAGTATATTTGCATCCTGGTATCAAAAAAGATCAAAATAAAAGATTAGTGCTTAGTCTTTACTGAGGCAATACAAAAACAAAGTGCATAATATCAGCCCATGTTAACAACAATCTGAACTGCTTAGGTTTCACAGTTACTGCTTGTAGGTTATGTCTAAGGACCAGTCTGCCTAATTTTTCTTGTCTTACATATGTCCCGCCCTGCAATTTCCTTCAAGCACTCAATGAATCATCATTAGCAGAGTGTCTGCTCACCACTGCATTTCGCCCTGTGGATTCTGGATGCTTTGTGCTTAAAAGCTGTTTGTGTATGGCAGATGTGTTCAAAATATATCAGCAGGTTTTTCACTTACTATATTACAATGCATCTTGCTACTGAGACCAGGTATCTCCTGAACAAGACAAAGCACAGGGATGTAGGAGTGTCAGAAAAGCACCTTATGAATTTTAGAAGTCCAGTGGGTTTTCTTATAAGGCTGCAAAACTCTAAGGGATTATTTTTACTAACTTGGTGAAGAACAAAAAATCCTGTGAGAAAAACCTAGCTGGCATTTTGATGTGTTTTGTTATACTAAGCAGGCTAAGGTTGAGCTTGTAAAGTTTAATTTCCACTTGCAGTTCCTTTTCCTACCACTTTCACTCACACAGAACAGAGCCCTTTTTGATACATTAATTTTTGGGTTTAGTAAAGAATTCTAGGCCATGATTTTACAGTATGTTGTTCTTGGTTGTATCCTCTTACCCTCATTGTGGCTTGGCTATTGTTCTGCAATTTAAATTGTATTTACAATCAGTAGTTTTGTGAAATATATTGGTATGTCAATATGAAAAGAGACAACTTATTGCTGTAGCTAATGACAAAAAATGCCTTTAAAAAAGTAACTTTTTCCTTTGTTTCTCACCTCTATCTTAATAGACACCACCAGAATGTATAAAATGCTCGTGAGATTCTCTCTAAAACAGAGATAACTACAGAGCATACCTGTCAGAGGGTAACTGTGCCTCGGCAAGTTTGACTATGGTAGGAAATATATCCATGTTACTTGTTGGCTCATCAATAATGGCACCAGCCTGTATCACTCCAGGCCAATGGAGAAGACCTGGAACACGAATACCTCCTTCCCAGTTCGTTGATTTTCCACCTGAAAATTGAAAGTTTTGTTTGCTAAAAAATCAATTTCTTCTTAGAAAAACACCCCACATGCAAGATTCAATTTCCAAATATTAAACATTCTGCCTACCTAGAATGTCTTCCTTAAATGCATTATTTTCTTTTAAATTTTCTAGATTTAGGTTTTCCACCTACAATCAGTATATATTAGAACAATCTTACAAAATTTATTTAGTTTACAAATAAAATTTAAAAACAGCTGTAGGAGATAAAAAGGCACCTTGCAGGAATCTTCATACAGAATTTGGTCTAGATAATGTGCCACATAGATATGTGAAGATCAAACCAAAAGACAGGAATCAAAAATAAATTGATGCATGCTTATGTCTGAGGCACGATCCCAGGGAAGATATATGGTATTTTATTAAAATAGATAGAAAAAGTATTTTAGAGAGAAGAAAGTACTAATTTAACTATGTAACTGAACTATGGTTAACAGAAAATCCTGTTGAGTGGGAGTAGATAAATCTGAGTAAAAACCCAGGAAATGTAAAGGATATCAGATTACAGATATCCTCAAATTAAGACATTTTTCAGTGAACAGCTATGCTGAGGAGATGATTTAGTTAATGAGCCGGATGCTAGTTCTGTCTTGTCCAGCTTGTTGGTTGGACAGTATGGACAGACTCTAATCTATACCATACGTAGCTTTAAGTGTAAGTTTCCTTTTATTTCTCTATACACATCTGAACCTAGTAACAGTGCTAGCTAGATTGGATTTTTTAAATAAATTCTCGTTTTACTCTTGCCTCCTGTGTAATCTAAAGACAGAGCAATTTCAAGGTAAGTGGTGAATCCCATTCCTGCATGGGTTGTAGTTCTTAAAACCTACATATGGTATCACTTTCATAGCTCCTAGGTTCACAGTACAATTTTCTTGAATCACTACAGAACAGGACAGAAAACTTGCACATTACCCAAGCACAAAGGGAGCACTCAGCAAACTGTGTCTCCCTGCTGTGAGGTACAAAAAGCAAAATGGACTCCACAGCAGGGCGGTCTCCCTGCTTATGTCTATGAAGAGTGACTAATGTTTTCCTTTCAAAAGACTAATTGGAGATTTTTTTTGGTTAGGAATATCTCTGGAGGTTAGGAATAGCAGGGAACCAGAACAGGAATTACAGGTCATTGTGGAAGACTGTCTTGTATTATCTATGCCTATGTGGCGTTCATGTTTATTAGAAAATGTGTTTAGTGAAATCATTAGAGTTGCTTAATGCCATTATATCATTACAAATCCGTTGATATACATTGCCTTTAAAACTCTAGCTGTTTAACATTGTTCATACTATCTGCATTTATTTTTCCTTAAAAAATAAATCAAGGTTTCACTACTGATGTTTTAAACATGAAGCAAAATCCAAATGGCCTAAGTATTTGAAGGAAAATAAAAAATCCACGAAAGCTCATTATGTAAAAATAAAATCTCTTGATAATTCCGGATCTGACTCATTTTGTATTTTGCTTGGAGTTGACAACACTGAAACAGAGATAAGGCAGCAATCTAGTAGTCTGTTTGCCTGGCCTATCTAGGTAGCCTATCTACATATTATTTTTGTTCTCTTAAATTCTTTAAAAATGTTTTTAAAACAGCATAGAACACCCCAGGATGTATTTTCATGCTTAGCTATCCATGCTTTCTGAAGACTTGCACCCTTCAGTGCTACACTGAACAATAGCCTACATTCACCTCTCCTGAAAAATCTGCAGGAATAGGCAAAGTACAGAAAGAACTCTCTGCAGTCATCCACAACATGATGTCAAATTTCCATTTTAACTTCATTTCAAATCTTAGATAAAAGAATGTCTTATTTCTTTCCCCTCTAGTTTAAACTGACTACTATTACCTAACTCTGGAAATAGAGCTTTTATAAAGATGATATATAAAGAACGCTGTGGTATATCACTACTAATATTTTGAATTATGAAAGATGAAAACCATTTTAAATAACTTTCTTGGATCACTTGGATTATAATCATACTACCCTTTCCTTCCTCCTTATATTCTTCTGCAAACAAAGCTTCCAAAACCAATTTAGTCTCTTGAATGATAAAAAAAAAACAAACAAACAAAACAAAACCAAAAAACCCCACACAACTCTATCCATCTGCAGTGGACTTTATGTTACAAATATTGACAATCAAAACTTTGGTTGTTATTGCTTAATTTATAAAATGGTCAAACAAAAATTTATTTTCAATGGCAAGCCATTCTTTACTGATTTTAAATCTGTTTCATGCACTGCTGTTGTTAATTCTCAACCTGAGATGGTTTTGTACAGGTGAATGTAATAGATACAGTTCATTTGGATATCTTCTCATCGGTTCTTTCTTTCAATCAAATGAAATTATGTCTCAGGGTATTTTCTCTTTCAGTCAAAATTACAAGATGGGTTGATTATTTAAAAATCTGTATCACTTGAGAGAGAATATAAGCATACAGAACATCTGGAAAAAAGATCAATTCTTGCTCTCATTTCACTTTCTCATGAAAGTGAAACTCCAACTAATAACTCTACAAAACGCAATAGCATAGCTCCTGAGGCCAAAGTAATGGTCAGTTTGATTTCTCTGTGGCTTACAGATAGGAAAAGTTTTTCCAATAGCTTCCAGAAATACTGATGAATGAACTTATCAGTGCAGTATATGAAAATGTGTAAAAATATTAATTTTCAATAGAATATTAGATAATCAATTCCTCCAGTCCTTCCTCAGCTCTCACAGATCTGCAGTAGCTGTCATCTAAAAAATCAGCATCCACGTACTTAAGAAACATTCATTTATTATTTTTCATTGATATTAACAAAGTAACTATGTATATATCTATTTCTAAGGCATAAAGCACTTAAAATGAAGGTTTTCAAATGGTTTGCCATTAACAGTTTGACTCAATTCCACTAGCAGCATAACTCATGACCCACTCTAGCAGCATGACATTAGCCAAGTGTCTGTATGCACTGTGCTCAATGCTTCATCAATACAAAGAAAGACGGTGTTCCTAATCTGCCAGTCCAAGGTACAGTCAAAATACATTTAACTACGTGTCCAAAAGAAGCTGACAGTAAGAGTACTAAGAGATGCAAGGAGACTTCATAGAAAATCTCATATGTAACAGAGTGAGAGAGATGTCAACAAGTGACAATGAGGGAGGTCTTCCACTGCCTGTATATGTACCAGTGAAATAGTGTAATGAGAAAAATGTAAAGAATAGTTTTTAATGCCTTCACTTTTTTCTGCTATCTCAGAGTACCACAGAAGAATATAACAGCATCCTTTAGACCAATTATCTTAAGCTGCTTGTTTATACAATTGAGAGAATATTTATCTATTTATTTTGGTCATTTTATTCTGAGGTAGACACTTAAATATTCAGAAAATCTAATCTTTTTTCTGTTCCTAAAATAAAGCTAAGGTGACTAGCTCAAAGAGAGATGCTTAAACTGCAGATGTCATACTAATGAGAAAAAGACTGAAAACCACCTAAGAAGTCAGTGCAGATATCCTGGATATCACATACAAAAACAATACCTCAATGACAAAGAAACTGGAAAAAAAAAAAAAAAAAAACTGGGAAAATTACATAGAAAGTTTTAAGAGGAAACTTCAGTTAAATGCAAGTTCCATATTTCAATCAGAAAATGTTAATATTAACAGGATTAAAAGGACCAAAATTTATATGTTATATGTCATAATAACTTATATGTTATAAATAACTTAAGAGGTTACACATCATACATCAGATACAAGTTATATGCCCATATATGAGAAAGCATTCAGGGATCTGGTATGAATGATAAAGAGCTAAATAGGAAAATATATAGAAAAAAAGAATTTTCAAAAATACATCACAAACTGTTTTCCAAAGGAATTAACCAGCCCAAATGATTCAAAGAACCCATTGGTCCAATAGGTCCACAGGAACTACCAGGTTTCTGATAGAAACTGATAATTTCTCTGATCAGTTTCTGATCAAAACACTAAGTAGCCAGGTAAAAAACATATTATCATTTTTGGACCCAGGAGTTCTTCAGGAATTCAGCTAAGCAGGTCTTGAGTTGTTGTGAAGAATTTCTTAATAAAATAGCCACTATTTTCTGGTTTAGAGGCTGTGTGTAGATTTAAACCTTTGAAAAATCTTTGACAAGGACCTTCAACAAAAGTTTCTGGCACATTAATCATGGGCTAGGAGACAAAATGTTGTCATGAATCAAAATCTGACTAACAGGCATGAAACAAAGAGATAAAACCAACAGCCTACAACACTTGCAAAAAAAGTTAACAGTAAGCTACCTTGATGGGGCTATCTATTAACTTCCCTGTTATTTTAATATATTTCCTTAAATTTTGGAAAGGAAGTGAGATGTTGATCAAGTTCAGAGGAAAAGATAATAGATTTCACATCAAGTTGGATGAACAGGAAACAAGATAAAAAATGACATTCTGTAAAACTATTTGCAGCACAGTGAACATCAGAAATAAAATTACTGAACTAGGGTACTCTTCTTAGGGATTTTCTTTATTCATTACACAGCTCCTGCATCTTCCTCCAAGGCTTCTGATCCTGGCAACTGTTAGAAAAAGGATACTGGAAAGAGATGTCATGATTTTGATCCACTTCAGTATTACTATATGTCTTCTGAAAAAGGATACTGAAGAGATAAACCAGACAGCAACTAGTTAAGCACTATGTTAGCTCTGGTTTCTAATTTCAAGGGCTATACAAATTTACAGTGACTGTTCTGCAGTCAGAATCCAGAGTTATAAAACTTCCAAATAACAATTTCTTCTTTTTGCATTGTCTTGCAGTGCTAGCCTAGCTCTGCAAACTCCTCTTAAATTTTATTATTGGTGCTCATTTGGCTGGATATCAAGGCAAATTAGTGAGTTCGAGTTGTGGAGATCTTTTGAGAGCTCTTGATTTTAGGATAGAACCAATTATGTCTGAGTATACTGCTCCAGCTCTGACAAGAGGGTTAAGTGGCTCAATTCATGTTTGCATTCATGCGGCGCTGATACACAAAAAGGTGAGTAGCGGAGATTGTCTAGCAGAGAGAGGAAGAAAGGACGTGTATGTCTCCCAGTTTTGTAAACCATTCATTGGCTGAAGCAAATTCCTAGTGCATGTACATGAGCAAAAGCAGCATAAAGGTTGTCCTTTTTTAGGCACATTGCTACATCAGTGCCTGAGACATAGGGCTTAACAGGTCTGATTTTCATGAAATCTGCCAGAGATACACAGACCTTTAACACTTTTAAATGTACATGAATGTTAATATGAATAAATTCTTGTTTATGAAAATAGCTAATTATTCAGATAATTGATCAATTCCACTTCAGTTGTTTTGAAAATTATGCATAATATAACTGTTAAATTGAGGTATTTACCTGACACAGAGATGGAGAGAGTGGAAGATAAAGCAGAATTCATTGTATTTTAAAGTGGTGGAAGTATATCCAACTGATTGCATGGGTCTTTTAATTTATTTTTATTTTATTAAGAATGTCTCTCCTACAATAATTACTTTGTGTCTTATATAGTGATTCTTTTCTATTCCATAATATATTACAACATTTGACATAATAGCATAGGTGCTAACTGTAAAGCACACAATTAATTTTAAAAATTAGAAGCCCCATCACTCCCCTAGTAACCCTATCAATCAGATTTTTTATTAATTCAGGGAAGACCTATTTCAAATTATTCTCCATTCTGTAAGTATGAATACAAAATTCTGCAAGGCTTGAAACAAAAGACTCCATTCAGTCAAAGTTCCTCAGGAAGGCATATTCTCCAGTGTATTTGTCTTTTTTTTCCTCATCATCATTTATCCTCTATCTTCTGTCTGGCATTCTAGAAGGCAAATATCTTTTAGAGCTTCTAAAACACCTCAGGCTATGCCTACAGCTACAGATATGTAACCATATGGTTTTTCAATTACTTAAATCACTATGTAAGGCCGTTGTGCTAATGTTCAAGAGATTTCATTCTGGTGTTAGCCCAAGGGGACCCATGTGATAGTTTGTAACCTCATGGCTTTGGCATTGCTTGTTTTGCTTGTGTAGCATTTCATTCATAGTTTAAATATACAGGTCATTTCTCAGTCAGGAGATAGCTGCTGACTGAAAACTGTGAAGAATTCTTGCTTGAAAACCTCAGTGTATTTTTTATTGCTTACTGTTCTTTTTTGCAGTTTTGCAGGTGAAACACAACTGGGAGGAGTGGCTGATCCATTTATGGTGGTGCTACCATTCAGTGGGACCTCGACAGGCTAGAGAATTGGGCAAAAAGGAATCTCATGGAGTTCAGCAAAGGGAAATATCAAGTCCTGCATCTGCAGAGGAATAACCTCTAGCACCACCGAAGGGGGTGGCACTGACTGGCTGGAAAGCAGCTCTGCAGAGAAAGACCAGGGGGTCCTGATGGACAACTAATTGAACGTGAGCCAGCAATGTGCCCTTGTGGCAAGGAAGGCCAACATCACCCTGGGCTTCATTAGGAAGAATGATTCCAGCAGGTTGAGGAAGGTCATCCTTATCCTCTGCTCAGCACTGTTGAGACACACCTGGAGTGCTGGGTCCAAGAGCAGAGCTCCCCAGTACAAGAGAGACACGGACATACTGGAGTGAGTTCAAAGGAGAGCTGTGAAAATGACTGAGCAGTTGGAGCATTCAGCATGTGAGGAGATGCTGAGAGACCTGGAACTGTTCAGCCTGGACAAGAAAAGGCTCAGCAAGAGCCTCTTACCCATCTGTATCAATACATGGATTTACCTGAGTAAAGAAGACAGAGTCAGACACTTTTCAGTGCTGTCCAGTGACAGGACAAAAGGCAATAGGCACAAGCTGACACAGAAAATTCCATTTAAACATACGAAAAAGCTTTTTTTATGGTGAGTGTGATCAATCACTGTAGCAAGTTTCCCAGGGAGGCTGCGGAGTCTCCATCATTGGAGATTTTCATAACTTGACTGGACACAGCCCTGAGCAACCTGCTCTAGCTGACACTGCTCTGCAGGGGCTGGGACTACAGAACTTGAGAGGTGCCTTCCAGATTCAATTACTATATGATCTTGTAATTTTGCAGTACCACTTAAAAAAAAAAAAAACAAAAAAAAACCAAAAAAAAACCCCACAAAAAACACACACACAAAAAACCCCCAACCTACCCAAAAAAAAAAACAAACCCAAACCAAACCCAACAAACCTCCCCCCTCTCCCCCAAAGGCAATTTACTTCTTTCTCTCTACGAATAAGTCTCAAGTTTGGAAGATTACTTTCCAAAAACCTGGTTTTCTTTGATGTTGTCCTCTGAAATACAAGGGGAAAACAAATTACACAGACATTTTCTAGTGAAAGAATAAAAAGAACTGGTAAAAACTCAAGAATATTCACTGCATTTCTTTAAAAATAATGAAAACAAGCATTCCTACTTCAATATAATTGAAGACTATTAAAAGCATTTTGAGGTTCATTTTTCTGATGCTGTGTGTCTACCACTTGCACATTATAAAACAGTGTTTTCTGTAGTCTGTCAGAGGTAATCCTTTATTTCATATTTGACAATGTTGTCTGAGCAGTCTGTGACAAAATAAGCATAATCTTTGATTGTGACCAATCCGTGACTGAACATTATTGCCATGTTATAAGGCAGAATTCATCCTTCATTCTCTCACACTATTATCATATTACATCTTCTTATTCTGACTTTCTCAAAAACATATTTCTGACAATAATTATGTTCATCCCCATGTTGGAACCATGTTCACAAAGGTATCCAGTGGCTCTCAAAGGTATCAGATAAATCTTAAAGGTATCCTTTTCTGGCTCTTGTTGAACTTGCCCATCCCACACTCAGCTCAACTCCTCGTTTTCCTTTTTTAACCTTAATTTCTTTTTCTACTTTTTCTGTAATGAATTCACTGGGCTCTCTTACTGTTTCCCCCATCCTCTCTATATCCTATCTTCATGTGACCCCACTCAGTTCATGGTATTTAGCTCCTATTTAGGATTCCTGATGGCTCACAAACAACCTTCCTTTCTTTCCCGTGTGCTATCCAGCAATTACAGTAAAGTACTATAACCTGACATTCTTCCAAAGTCATACCTCTGCCTCGTTCAAGAGTGTATTTTCTGGTCTTAAAACTCCACAGAGCACTGTCTGGGTATGTACTCTGGTTAAGCTGCTGGTTTGACAAGTAACTATTTTTATTTATTGCCTATGTTTGAATTTAGAATGACAATCATGAGAAATCTACTATTAAGTGATCAAGTTTTAACCTTCTTGGCCACAGTCTACATTACAGTTTTGGCACAAAAACAATGAGATGATAGTTTCTGAAAGAGTCTTTAAGAATCATCATGGGATGGTCACCTTTATATATGCCATTATATCCTCCATGGACTTCTCCAGAACTAGAGATTTCTTCAACATGAGCACCTTGGTCAGACGTAAAGTATAAAAGAGTTTTATTACTCAGATTATATTTCTCCAGCATATCCAGAATCTGCCCTGAAAAAAAAAAAAAAAAGAGAGAGAAAAAAAACACCAGGTTTAATATCTGGAAGTGGCTTTTTTCATTAACCTTGGCACATATAAATATTTTGTCCCTATGGCTTTTTAAGATCACTTTCCATATAAATATTATTATAGATAGCAATTGGCACCATGCAACATACAGTAGGGGACAATTGCACAAGGCTTGTTGCAATCAGGACCATGGTTTGATTGCTGCAGGGTTTCTTGAAGTATAAAATGAGAAGATTTGTGCACATCAGAGTAAAGGGCTGCTCTACAGAGAGCTAGTGACCTTTGGAAGCAGTTGCTCTCAATCAAGGAAACCCCTCAGCAGAAAGATTCAAACCACTGAGGATATCTGAAAGAGTCTCTGCATGCAGAATGGACCTAACAGTTTGGGGGTAAAGCTTTGCTGCCTAGCAACCTATAGAGGAAACATGGCAAAAATCTCAGTGTGAGTGTAAGAATAAGACATTCTAAGAAAAAAAGGGAAGTTAATGTATGGAGTGCCTCCAGAGACCACATGGTTTCATCATAAAGCCTACTAATTAGTCCCTAAATTCTCATCATGTAAGAATAGGCGACGACTAAATTCAAAATGTACAAGGCAATAAACACAGACATGTGCACGTATTTGAAAGAAGAATCCACATGGATATGCTCTGAAACTCCAAGGCACTGTGGGCTCTCATTTCATTTGCACAAAGGACTCCTCACACTACCTTGGCACTGTGGAGAGCCTTGCAGTGCACATAAATTACATTTAAACCTATTTAGACTGAGTTCTGTAAAGAGGGTTTTTGTATGAATGAGAGTGAAGTCACTCTTTGTAACTTGCTCCACTGAATTTAATACTGATTAGAAATTTAAAATTATTGGTCCTGGAAACCGACCAAAGTATAAGAATATACTTCTTCACATCAGCTTGCAAATGAACTTTAATCTTATCCTTTAGGGATCCCAGACCATATAAAGATAATTCTGTCTTCACAACCTTTTTATCTTTATTCTTTTTACTTAAACACCCAAGAATGGTCCAATTTGAATGTTAATTTTGATTTGCTCACCTGTCCACTAAGAATTAATTTATCAGCTGATGCCCCATTATTGTGTCAAAGAGGCTAAGAACTTTGAAATACAGAGCCTTCTTTAACGATTTTCAGATCATCCTTTCTGCTATTATGCTCTTTTTTCTGGATAAGAAATTGTTACCTTACCTTATTGCTACTATTTCTAGCTTACTTTTAATGTTATAGCATTCTAAAATTGCCTTGTTAAAAGAGTTGACTACCTTCATTTCTCATCAGCTCAAATGACTGGATCATGAATAAAGGAGCATCTGCAGTTAAGTAAGTGATACCTGTAGGTCTTGTTTGTAAACTAGGAGCAGAGAAGAAATATAAGAGTAGGAGAATTTGTTTATGTTAATTTTGAAAACTCGTGGGAGTTGAAATTTCCCAACAGAGTTGTGGAAAATCTGTTTGAAGGCTGACATTTTCAAGTTGGTGGGTTGAGGCAAAATCATGCAGAACCATCTGACAAGCCATTTGCTTGCTGCAGCAGGTGGACTTACTGCCAGGAAAGAAAGAGGCAATTTCCCATTGGCTTCTGAGATTGTTTGGAGAATGTACTTGCTAAGTAATTATAATATCCCTTGGAAAAGTCCCAATGATGTTACAAAAGTGGAGTATATAGATAAATTAGGACATTATATGTGGGTATTCAGCCATATGACCTCCAGAGTTCCCTTCCAAACTGTATCAGTCTATGATTTTATGATTCTATGATAATAATAATAATAATTAGGATTGCAGAAAGAAATATATGTGCAATGACATGCACAAATGCATCTTTTTACCTACAGAGTTTTGTTTGATGAAATTGGATTTTCAAATTCACCTTGTATATAAACCAAAACAAAAATCAAACAATAATCCCATTCAGTAAATCCCATTAAATGATCTGTGGTGATCAGAGACATCTGCTGTCATTCAATAATGGCCATTTTGATTTCCTAATTAATCTGGGTAAAAAATTACTAGCAAGGAAAAATGTCTATCACAATTAATTAAATAAGGCATAAGGCAGTCATCATTCTGATTTTTGTTTGTTTGTTTGTTTGTTTTTAAACCAGGTTGAGTAGCTTGACTTGGCCTGGGCTAAAAACCAAACAAAACAAGAAATTCCCACTCCAATAAAATGTATAGAAAGTCTCATCCAAAGCTTGTTGAAATCAATGAAAAAACTTCCATTTCCTTCATTTGGTTTACTAAACACAAAGAGGATTGGATACATTAGGGTTAATTAAAAAAAGCTAAAACGACAACTTATTTTAGCAACAACATTTTTCAGTACAGATGGACTAATAGTGGTAATTCAAATAACACTATTTTCAGAGAATGGAAATCACAATGCACTCACATAAATGAAGCAAAACTTCCATTTCTACGTTCATCTTGAACACTGACACCTTCTAGAATGAAAAGTGTAAATAAGCAATAAAGTGTGTGCTACCAGGAGATAAGCCCCATTAAAGTGAAACTGAATGATGTGGCTACTGTTAAACAAGCAATACCTTCATTTGGTAAATTGTAATCAATTCAGAAGAAAAATGCAAAGCATGAATTATGGATCTCTAAGAACAGATCTCTTTCACATGTAATATAACAATTTTGGAAGCAAACACTATAAAGTAGGCTAAATACATACATTTCTCTTTTCTTATAACAATTTAATTTCTTTTTTACTCTATACCCTCCACTCATTATTTCTGTAGGTTTCATAGAGACTTTTGATTTAAGTTAAAATTGAGGGATAAATATTCCAAGGTACTGCCAGTTAATGAACAAGGAGGGGTTTCATCTAACCTATCTTATCTGCCTAATTTTGGAAGAGGTGAATCAAAACTGCAAAAAGGCCTTTTTTACCTGTTGACTAAAAAAGACAAGACAGGCAACTAGCTCAAAATGAAATGCCTTCATATTAGACATCAAGAACAGTAAGATGAATCCTGCCCAATGTGCTAGACATAAAACTACACGAGCAACACATTTTAATAAGTGTGATGAACAGATACATGACATCTGAGTAAGAGAAGATGGTAAAACTGTATTGCTTCAGGCATAAAATATGATGGGATAGGTATCATGTATCATGTGATCTCAAATTACAAAAATGGGGCTTCAGCTGGCTTAGTATCCCCTTTGAGTCCCATTGCTGGTTGCAAAAAGCAATACAAATTTTGAAAGACTATTTACATATGAAGAGTTTATAGCAAATACAAAAATTTTGGCTAAATAAGGGAAAACACTGGGAAACTGTAGCTCTGTTCAAGCAACAATAGTTCGCTATCCCCAGTGTAGGAAATCATCAATAAAAAGGGAAAGATTCCTGATTGAAAATACTCACTTGAAAGACATGTTCCAAAAACATAACAGCTGCACTGTTCTCTGTGGATGCTACTGTATACATTTTTTTTTTTCTGATTTCAACAGACCAGATTTGGAAGGACATTTCTGAACAACAAAACCAATCCAACACTGAAGGAGCTGCATAATTTCTGAAGATATTTAGCAACTAGAATTTCAAATTAAGTTTCTCCTATTATTGCCATTCTAGAAATATATACTCCAATGCAGATGGCTAACACTGAAGCACACAGAGGCATTAGATCATTGGACAATTTTCTTTCATTTGTATTTTTTTAAGAAACAGAACAGATTAAGGACTGCATTAAGATGCTACTTGTTCTAATTAGTACGTCAGTGTTCCAAAACTTAAGTAAAGCTCCCTCCAAAATATACTGAGGACTGCTCTCTATATTCTGCTCCCCAGTCTTGCTTCAAGCTATGTTAAATTATAAAGAGTTGTTTCATTGTTAAAGTGAAAATGCCAGTGGAGTGATAGCCATGTGAAAGTGATAAGAGCAATTGAATCTCTTCTTTAGAAGGAAACTGAGAGTGCCGTGCCATTACTGAACTTCTTTAAAACAGCATGAATGGTAGCTGAACCAGCCTCTCTAATGCTGAATGTAATTTCTGGAATTTTGAACCATGTAAAAATCCTACTCTATTAACCTACATTAAGACATAGGGTTTATAAAAAATGACTGTTCATTTGAAAACAAGGAAAAAACACTGAAAAACAATAATGTGTTCACAAATGTGTTAGTGTTTTAGAAAGTTGCTCAAAGGTTTAGTCAAGCGAGTATACGACAAATGCATTTGAATCATAAATTAGCTCACTGTCATTTGAAGGCAATTGGACAGAAATGTTATTTGTATTAATTTGAAACAATTTAGAGTCTTGCTGAAATTATGAATAAAAAGCTCTAGAATACAGAACACCTCTGTGCAATCTAGGCATTTGGACAGAATAGTCTATTAGTGAGAAAAGCTTTAAAGCAGTTTGCCAGATTTGAAGAAATAACAAGGACAAGCCAGCTGACAATATAGGGAATTCCTGCAAATATAACTTTTTTTTCCCACTCCAGCAGAATTTCACATAACTCAGAAGGTTACAGTAAGCTTTAAACAATTATTGTACAAACAATGATCTGGAAAGATCAGTGGCGTATATATTTATTTATTTGCTGTTTCGGAATTCCCTACTGATACTAATGTTTGGTTTTTAATAACTTAATTAACCAGAATCACAACTAACTGGTAATCAGCTGAAGGGCTTCACCTCTGTGAATGGCAAGCCACAAGTGCTTTCAATACATGCATAAACACCTAGAAATTATTCCTATATGAATAAATATCTGTAAACCCATACTTTTAGAGAAGATACTGATGCTGTCCAGCTATATAGCCACTACAGAGTACACCTCTTGGTACCCTCTTCCTGCTACAGGAGTTAAATTAAGGCAATTCCACAGTTTATCATCTCTTCAGGACTCAAAGACTAAGATTTTCACCTTATGAAAACTTAATGTTGCAACTTCTGTGAACCATCATTCACAAGCTAACAATCATTTTCATGTCTGTGTTGAT